AAAAGTAAAGATTCTGACATAGTATTCCTTAGGCACTGTTCATTTGTCTCTCTGGGTAACGCAGGACTTAACTCTATTTAGCACTGAATCTTATGCTCCATTGCCAGAGGAAACTTGCACACTCAATTCCCCGCAGGAAGAAAACTAGAAAGTCAAGGAGAGTTGTTTTGATCCAGGCACGCTTTTTCTTTTTTTTTGCATGCATGCATGGAGAAGTGCGTTTTGCAACCCATAACACCCATCGAGTACCACAAATTTCACTAGTTCCCTGTTCTGCATCCGTTTCCATGCAGCCTGCTTAGCAAGGTTGACCAGTGCAGACAAAGCTCAACCCACCTTCTTAGCCCAGAATGCTGCCTTTGATTAATTACCTTTAGGAAACAGAGAGGAATATTTTGTTTATTCCCCAGTCTAGGATCAACTAGGTTCTTTCATTGCAAATCTAACCAGATGGAGAACATTGTAGATGCAGAGATGAATTATAACAAAAATGTGGAGAAAAAAGAAAAGAAGCAAAAAAAGGAGGGGGAACGTTTCCCCATCAGGATGCTGAAAGAAAGGGAAGGGAAGGGACTCCCACCTCCCCCAGTCCATAACTAGGGCAAAGGGAGTTCCTAATGTTAAAAGAAGAGCTGGAATTTGATCAGAGGGTTAGCAGCTAGCCCCCTGTGGGCCAAAGCTGGCTGTTTGGCGACATCCCTGTGGGGAAGGCTCAGCCCAGTGCTCTCAGTCCTACTTCCCACCAGAGCTGCCGATCGGGCCCTGCTTCAAATCCAATTTCAAAAGCCCGCAAGGCACAAACGTTCGTAGTTTACTTGTAGGAAAAGTCTGTTGGCTCTCTTCAGGGCAGCCCTTTTCAGCCCAACCCTGACCCATCCTATGCGCAAACTGACCTGCGTTCCCACGAAGAGCATCAGCCCAGGGGCCCCCATCTGCTTGCTCCTTCACCAGACACCATTGCCCTATGACGGCTGCTGCCAACTTCTTTGCTAGCCCGGTCCTCCCTGCTCCTCTGCCTTCCCTAGCTGGGGA